CAGCCCTGCAGCTCATCTCCTTCCACCCTGCAGGGGACTGGGGACAAGGGCCAGGCCCAGCCCGTGTATGTGCCTGGGTTTGTTCCAGCAGCTGGGCAGTTACTGCAGAGACAGATTTGGTGTAAAGAAGAAAACAGTTCTGCTTCTGGTCAAGATGGAGAAATGGGGACTGATGTGTCTGCCTCCTAGAACAATAACAACAAGCTGAAGACTAGTTTCCAAGACACTGGACAAGATAGGGCAGTGATCCCCCATTGATGGTCATAAAGGAGCTGCATGGTCGTTCCAGCTGACTGTCTTGAGGAAGTTTTCAGGCCATGGTGCAGGGACCCCAGGTCAAGCCTGGTGTAGTCCCTGAGTTGAGGAGACAGAGCTGAGAGGTGGGGAGCCAAGGTGGCTGGAGTTATAAGACAGAGCAATGGGGAGAAGACAGCTGGACAGAGAAAGAGCTCTACAGATACTCAGAGGGTCCCACTGAGCACTCAGCTGAGTACCGATCAGCACAAGCTTTGGAGGAAATCACCCAAGGCTGAGGCGAGAACCCCCCGGAGGGATGAAGGACACAGCACTCGGCACCCTCACAGGGCCAGGAGTAGCTCAGTCCTCACTAGTCGGACTGGAACAGGAACTCTTTACTGTTCATGGGGTACTGGGTAGAGCATGCAGAGTCTTGCCTTAGTAGCAGGAACAATCAGACCTAGAATAAATACAGCCCCGGGCACATTGGGGCTGTATTTATTGTAAAAGAAAATTGCCTTTGTTAACATTATCATTTATACAGAAAATCTGACGGAATTGACACAAAATCTACTAGAACTAGTAAATGGATTTATCAAGGCTGCAGGACACAAGATCAATGTACAAAAAAATCTATTTTATTTCTATGCGCTAGCAACGATCAATCAGAAATTGAAAGAGAAATACCATTTTAAGAATCATTGAAATATGAATGACATTGGCATAAATCTAAGAAAAGATGTGCAAAATCCATACACTGAAAACCAAAAACCATTGATGAAATTAAAGAAATTCTAAATAAATGGAGAGAAATACCTTGTTTATGAGTCAGAAGGCCCAGTATTGTTAAGATGTCAATGAGTGCTGTATTAGTCCGTTCTCATGCTGCTATGAAGAAATACCCAAGACGGAGTAATTTATAAAGGAAAGAGGTTTAGTTGACTCACAGTTCCACATGGCTGGGGAGGCCTCAGGAAACTTACAATCATGGCGGAAGACACCTCTTCACAGGGTGGCAGGAGATAGAATGAGTGCAAGCGGGGAAATACCAGACACTTATAAAACCATCAGATCGCGTGAGACTCACCCATTATCATGAGAACAGCATGGGGAAAACCACCCCTATGGTCCAATTACCTCTACCCGGCCCTGCCCTTGACACATGGGGATTATAATTCGAGGTGAGATTGGCATATCAGTCCCTCAAACTGACTTATAGATTCAGTTCAATCCCAATCAAAATCCCAGCAGGCATTTTCTTTTTTTCTTAGAAATTCACACACTAATTCTAAAATTCATATAGAAACTTAAGGGGCCTAGAAGAGCCAATACAACTTTGAAAAACAAGGACAAAGGACAGGAAGATTAACTGCTTTCAAGACTTACTAGGAAGCCATAACAATCACTGTAATAGCTGTGGTAGGTTTGGCATCAAGACAGGCCAAGAGATCCAAGAAACAGAATATCAAACCCAGAAATAGACTCACATACACATGACAACTGATTTTTGGTAAGACTGCAGGGACAATTCAATGGGGGAAAGGATGATGTTTTTAACACATAATAGTGGAATCATTGGACATTCATATGGAGAAAAACTTCAATCCATAGTTTGCCCCATGCACAAATGCTAATTCGAGATAAATTGTGGAACCAAATATAAAACCTGAAACTTCAGAACATCTAGAAGAAAGCATAGGAGAAAAAAAATCTCTTTACATTTTAGCAAAGAAGACATAATAAATGCCAAATAACCACATGAATAGATTCTCAACATCATTAGTCACTAGGGAAATATAGATTAAAACCACAGCGAGCTACCATGACACACCTAGTCGAATGGCTAAAGTTATGAAGACTGACAACACCAAGGTTGAGGAGGCTGAAGAACTGCAATTCTCACCCACGGCTGGTGGGAATGTGAAGTCGTGCAACCACTTTGGAAAACTGTTTGGCACTTATTTAGGGCGCTAAAATACACTTACCTTGAGATCTAGCCATTTCACCCAAGAGAAAAGGAAGAATATGTCCATGCACAGACTTGCACACACATATTCACGGCAGCTGTATCTGTAACAGCCCCAGACTAGAAACAGCCCAAATGTCCTTCAAGGAGTGAATGAGTCAGTGCTTTGTAACTCAATCCCCGCATGGAATACTACTTGGCCAGAACAAGGAAAAAAGTATTTCTATGTACAACATCAGAGAAGAGCCTCCAAATAACTATGATGAGTGGAGGAAGGCAAGCAGAAAATGATGACGGATGCTACGATTCTATTTACATAAAACTCCAGAAAATATAAATATTCTACAGCGACAAGAAGCAGAGTCAGTACTTGCCTTGGAAGAGGGGATTGGGTGGGGTGTGAAGAAGACATTACAAAGGGGCACAATGTAATGGTTGTGGGTGATGAACACAACCATTATCTTGATGGTGGTGATGGTGTCATGGGTATACATATATATCAAAGCTTATCATATTGCATACTCTATGTGAAGTTTATCATGCGCCCATTGTACTTCAATAAAGCTATTTAAAAAACATCCAAGTTTACAGGGCCAGGTAAATGACTGCATCAATACTTAAGAGTACAAATGGAATTTTTTTTTTTTTTTTTTAGACGGAGTCTCGCTCTGTTGGTCAGGCTGGAGTGCAGTGGCGCAATCTTGGCTCATTGCAACCTCTGCCTCTCAGGTTCAAGTGATTCTTCTGCTTCAGCCTCCCGAGTAGGTGGGATTATAGGTGCCTGTCACCATGCCCGGCTAAAGTTTGTATTTTTAGCAGAGATGGAGTTCCACTACATCGGCCAGGCTGGTCTTGAATTCCTGACCTCAGGAGATATGCCTGCCTTGGCCTCCCAAAGTGCTGGGATTATAGGCGTGAGCCACCGCGCCCAGCCCCACAAATGGATTCTTTATTCTACAAACGACTCACCAGGAGGCTCCTTCCGATGCTTCCCTGTGAAATAGATTCAGTTTACAGTGGTGGCATCTCAGGAGTCAGCTGTGTGAAGGCTGCTACCCTACTCGTGGCGAACACTTGGGGGCACCTGTGAGGCCAGCACCCGGCGGCATTCCTCTCTCCTCCCACGGAAAACTGCATCTAACCTTGACAGACAGGGGCGCCCACTCGGTAGGGGGAACCCTGTTACACACGGCCCACTGTGGGAAGCCCGAGGCCCTGTGAAGGGGACCCCCTGGGCTCTGTCTCTTTGTTCTCTTCCGGCTGGAAAGCCGGAAAGCCGGGAGCAGAGTCCGAGCTGCCTCTGCCCGCAGCCCTGAGTGGCTCCGCGGTGACCGGCTTCTAGGACGGAAGCCCACGGCTCAGGTCTAGCTCTAATGTCAGGTCTAGCTCCAGGCCATTTGGTCAGTGCCTACTTCTGAGCCAAGGGTGGGCTTAGGGCAAACGCAGTACAAAAAAGAGTGCCACACTTTTCCAGTTTTAGCTGAAGAAGACTTCGTACTCCTTTAACCCCGACGGATCTACTTTCTGGTCCTGGTTTTTGAAAAACGCTGTGCTGGCCTTGTACACATACCACCCAAGACCCAGGACCTGGCAGAAGAGAGGCCCTCTGAGGGCCGAGGGCTGCAAATTCCTGGCAAGTCTGCATTTTCTAATTTTGTTCTCAATAAATATACGTTACAGATGATCTCCAACTGACGAAGGTTTGACTTACAATTGACTTAGAATTTTTCGACTTTATGTTCGTTGGGTTTTTTAGGGGTATTAAATGCTTTTTTTTTTTTTTTGAGACGGAGTCTTGCTCTGTTGACCAGGCTGGAGTGCAATGGTGTGATCTCAGCTCATGCAACCTCCGCCTCCCGGGTTCAAGCGATTCTCCTGCCTCAGCCTACCAGTAGCTGGGACTACAGATGCCCGCCACCATGCCTGGCTAATTTTTGTATTTTTTGTAGAGATGGGGTTTCGCCATGTTGGCCAGGCTGGTCTTGAACTCCTGAGCTCAGGTGATCTGCCCACCTTGCCCTCCCAAAGTACTGGGATTACAAGCATGAGCCAGCATGGCTGGTCCATTAAATGCATTTTTGACTTACAATATTTTCACCTTATAATGGGTTTATCAGGACTTAACCCCATCGAAAGTCCAGAAGCATCATACTTGTATAATAATCTCCCTAAAGTAAACTCTGCAAGTGAATCCGTGGAGGGGGTCAGCCACAGGTGGGTAATGGGGTTGGAGGTATGGAGCAATGAACCAATGGGCTCAGGCCGTAGCAGCCAGTCTCCCAGCAAGGGTCAACACTGGGAACTGAGCCGATATCTGAAGCCCCTTTCCCCAAGGAGACCAGGCCATGGAGGTGAGTTGGACCACCCTGGACCAGTGAGCTGGGACTGCCTGAGGGATGGGTGGCCATGCACGGAGCAGCTGGGGTGGGGGACCTTGGGGTTGGGGGAGGGAGAGGATCAGGAAGGCAGCGACACTGATTCTCAGGCCAGCCAGAATTGCCTAAAAACAATCGTCCTCCATCCTCACCCCATTTATCCATTTCCTCTTTAGCCCCTCTGGCCCCCAGTCCTGCTTTCCCCAGCACATTTTGGGCTTGCCCACGGGGGACAAGAGAGAAGACGACACAGAGGTGCTTAACGGCGCCAAGCTTTCCCTCCTCAGCCCCCAAACTCTTCCTCCCTCCAGTGGCTGGGAAACCCCAGAAACTCCGGGCTTTCATTATCAGCAGCTCCCAAGATGTTCAACATGCTCATATCTGTCAAAAACTATTCAGGAAAAATAGAGAAGTCTTTATACCTTTTATTCAGCCAATTTTCCCCGAGGCACTCTGGGCTCTCTAAGAAAGAAAAAGAGAGAAAGGAGAGAGAATCACAATCAATGTTGTCATCATGCATCTGGTTGCTGGCGATGCTATTTGCTCATCGACTAGGGAAGTCTGGAGGTGGAAGCATCATCTCCCTGGGAGTCCAAGGAAACCTGCTCGGGTTAACCTCTGGCTGCCATCTGCATCTCAAGCATGGCTGGGAGGCAGTGTTTAGATAACAGGCAGAGATAAAGCAAAATAGGGCACGGTGGACCGGCCACCCAGAGGTTTCAGACTCATTTTCTCTGTTACTCTGGATGTTCCTTTCTTTCCCCCTCTCTTTCTTTCCTTTGCCTCAAACTCCAAGCAATCCCTTTCCTCTTCTCCTAGCACCCTACCACCTGGTTCGAGGTTGTCCACGAATGCAGGCTTTGTGGCTTGTTGATGGTGACATTTAGTTTCACACTGGGTTTCCTCTGCCACGCTGCAGGGATTTGCTGCGGGGATTTGCTTCCTCCTCCAGGTGTAGGGCGGGGGTCACTGTCACTTTGAGTGCAGTCATGGCATGCTCATTCATTTTATTTATTTATTTAATTTGTTTCTGGAGACGGAGTCTCGCTCTGTCGCCCAGTCTAGAGTGCAATGGCGCGATCTTGGCTCACTGCAACCTCTGCCTCCGAGGTTCGAGCGATTCTTGTGCCTCAGCCGCCCGACTAGCTGGGAGTACAGATGTGTGCCACCAAGCCCAGCTAATTTTTTGTATTTTTAGTAGAGATGGGGTCTCACCATGTTACCCAGGGTGGCCTTGACCTCCTGAGCTCAGGCAATCCACCCGCCTAGGCCTGCATGTTCATTTTATGTTATTAAAGAAAAGTCATTTAGCAAATTCTAAATCCCATCAAACACATAATTATAGAGGCAATCGTTGTGTGTTACTGTGAGTCAGGTGCACCAGCAGCAGGAATGGCTCAGTGATACGGACAGACTGGCAAGGATCACCACTCACTCACTTTATGATCCAGGGCCCCGGACCAGGGTATCCGCTCCTGCGTAAGTCACAAAGCTAGCTCCCCGGGGCCTGGGACTTCACACGCGTGCCTGGACACCTTCCTTTTCTTACTTAGTAGGTCATTGAGGAGTTTAGAAACAAAGGGGTGTGTGTACAGTGTGCTTTAAACAAACTTAGATTTTCTTCCTTTATTTTAGTAATGTTTCATAATTTCCTGTGTACATGACTTGCACATTTTTAAATTATAAAATGCACATAACATAAAATTTGCAATTTTAACCATTTTCGAATGTACAATTCAGTGGTATTGAGTACATTCACACTGCTGTCAATCACCACTGCTCTCTGATGCCTGAACCTTTTCGTCACTCCAAAAAGAATATCCATACCTGTTAAGATGCCACCCCCTGCCCCCGGCCTCCCATGCATATGTGTGTGTGTGTGCGTGCGTATTTTTTTTAAACTTAGTGTAAAAACTAAAAGCAAGTGAAAAGCTTCTGGAATTGAAAGACCGTCAGACTAGGCCTCTTTCTTCAGATCTAGAAAAATCACCACCACTGTCCTCATCCACATCACTGTAAAAAGGTAACTGCGGTCGTTTCGTTTGCACGGTTTATGAGCCAGGCGCTTCCTGTACGTTGCTTCATTCAGCCCTCCCAACGGCTCTAGCAGGCAGGCACACTTCTCACTCTTCCCATTCTTCAGATAAAGAAACCAAGGCCCCAGCCGGTGAAGCGACTGTGACCACAGTAACTGGGTCAGCCGGCCTGTCCCCCAGAGCAGGTTACCCGAGCTGCCTGTCTCACCCGCAGATGGAAAGGAGTACCCCACCCTGTGGGAGGCGAGAACGAATGTGGCCACAGAACATGGAACTGCATAGGGCCTGGCTTCCCTGCTGGGTTTGTGCAGATCACAATGGCAGTATTGGGTACGTCATAGGCGGGCCCCTCCCAGCCGCATCAGGGAGGGCTATGGGCCACGGAGCAGCTGAACTTGAACTGGGCACTGGGCAGGCCATTTCCAAGGTAGCTCCGTGGAGTCCCTGTTCTCGAGACTCCCCAGTAAAATGGCAAAGGTAACTTCTGGCCCGTGGAGCTGTTTCCATACACAGCTCACAAAGTGACGCTGAGAAGGGCAGGTGTGATTGGAAGGCACTGCCAGTGAGAGTCACTTCGAAAGGAAATGCGTCATCTGAGCGGCTTGCATCAGCTGCTGCCTTCGTTAATTTGGGGGATTTTTTCTTTTTTTGAGACGGAGTCTCGCTCTGTCGCCTGGGCTGGAGTGCAATGGTGTGATCTCAGCTCACTGCAACCTCCGCCTCTCCGGTTCAAGCGATTCTCCTGCCTCAGCCTCCGAAGCAGCTGGGATTACAGGCACATGCCACCATGCCTGGCAATTTTTTGTATTTTTAGTAGAGATGGGGTTTTACCATGTTGATCAGGCTGGTCTTGAATACTTGACCTCAGGCAATCCACCTGCCTTGCCCTCCCAGAGTGCTGGGATTACAGTATGAGCCACCGCACCCAGCTGGATTTTCTTATTGGTGATTTCTTTTCTTGAAGTGAGTTCTTCCAATTCAATACAATTTGGTTCCATTGAGTCCAGCCCCACTGAACAAACACACAGCCAGGCATGTGGATCTGGAGCCAGGTCCGGAGCCTTGGAAGAGTAGGTCTGTGGCTCTGCTGGAGGCAGGCTCGGGCCCGTGGGCTGAGAAGGTGAAGCAGGACTAAGCCAAGGATTCAGGGTTTCACCTCTCTTCCCGAACACCTCTGTGTCCCCTGTCCTTTCTCCTCTACTGGTCCAGGCTCTGTGCCCAAGTCCTTAGATTTCCTCCCAGCACAATAACACCTTTCGGCTCTGGAATTCCCAGTCTTTGGGCCACATCAGCCCAGATGGGAGCTGGCAGAGCACGCTGTTCACCCCACCCCATCTACCCCAGCTTCCCTGCCTCTGCCAACCCTTCTCTCCTGAGAGATTGTTGGCATCCCTCGAGTTCTCTTAAATGTGTCACACACTTACGAGCGTTTTTATTTGGTCAAGGTGAAATACGTTCCACCTGCACTGTGTGAACCCAGGGGCTGCAGTGGCATCTGGAGGCCCGGAGGCTGGGCCCCATTTCAATCACCAAAGAGTTCTCATTTTTGAAAGCTCCAGTACTAGAGGGATGGTCAAAGAGCCGGTTGAGCCTGATGCCTCAACCACAGGGTCCAACCTGTTTTCCTGGCTCTTCGGGCCAGGAGCTCCCTGGGCCCAGCTTCATCCTCTGTCCTTTCATAGAACCTCCAGCGTCATGAAATTCCCTGCACCTCCCGGGAGGCCCTTGCGCATGGAAAGGAAGGTGGTCTCCGTGCGGAGCGCCCACTCCTGCGGTGGCCTGGCTGCCCGTCCCTGGGATGGCGCCTGGCTTTGTGTTTCTGAGATGAATACCGGCTCCCTATCCTCTTCTGTATTCCCAGCATTTTCTATGTCTCTGGTCCCTGCCCCACCTACCCAATCCTGGGGGTGGCGGAAGGAGAGAGGCCCCCGGGTTCATTCCCACTCCACGGGCCTTTCGGATGACATCCCATGGGTGTGCTCCCAGGGTCATGAAATACGGAGCTGATTCTCAGCCTCACTGTTAGCAAACACTGCTCTCAGCCGCTCAGCGGGATAATCAATTATGGTAATTTTTGCCTCCGTGAATCAGGTTCATGGAGGAACACAGGGATCAGCACAGTGGTGCCGACTTCCCCCAGTGCACATGCAGTCACGCCCTTCGGCAAAGCCCAGACAGAGCAAGAACCACCTGCCAGGCTCAGATTGTCTCCATACTCCCAGAGGGTGAGCGTCCAATGTGGAGCCCGTGGTCTGCCTTCCCACTAGACTGTGACACCCCCATGGGCAGAGGCCATGTCTTAGAGGTTCCAGTGTCCCCAGACACTGGTGTGGGGCCACCATGGACCAGAGGCATGGAAAGGAAAGGATGTTTATGAATGAATGAACAATGGAATGGCCTTGTAACAGGTAAGCGTTTGCCTCCAGAGGTCAGAGCTGGACCCCTGTTTTGAAGCATGGGATTGGATCCTTTGAGAGTAATATTTGCTCTTGGGGAATCCCAGCCACGGATGTGCATTTATCTACCCAGAGAGGCCTTTTCTCGTGTTCTCCCTTCTGTCCTGTCTCTCCTTTAGGCCCCTTGATTCCACCTGGCTCACAGCTCGACCTCCCACCTTCGCACCAGTCCCTCCAAAGACGAGGTCCTTGTGGGCTTCTCCCTGCAGTTCTCCTCAAGGACATGTGATTCTGTCTTTATTGAACTCCGTCCAAACAATGGAAGTCTCCCACCTCCCAAAGCCTTTAACCCTAGCTGTCTTCTGTCCATAAAACATCTCATTCTTCAGAAATGAAACTGGGGCTTGCTTGTGTGGCCCTTGAAATGAAAAGCAGACGTGTCCCTTAGTAAAACTCATCGTTAGTGGATCATGCAAGACAACTGGTCAGAAAACAACCCTCATGTCGAAATCAGACCACTGCCACTCATCGGTGGCCCTTCAGCTTTGCCGTCACACATACGTCCCTTCTCTCCCCAGTTAGGTGCAAGTTACTTGATTACGGGGAAGGTCTAGAAAGGCACAGAGCAAGCGGAACATGGATTTCTGCATGGATGTGTCCCCGGCTCTTTGATAAAGTCAATTTCTTAGCAGTGGCCATCACGTTTCTTGTTTATTGAACATCTACTGCGTCAGGCACTGAATATACATCATTGACCTCAAGTCAGCCCCATTAGGGACACATTCTTCTTCTTCTTCTTTTTTTTTTTTTTGAGACGGAGTCTCACTCTGTCACCCAGGCTGGAGTGCAATGGTGTGATCTCTGCCTCCCCGGCTCATGCCATTCTCCTGTCTCAGCCTCTTGAGTAGCTGGGACTACAGGCGCCTGCCATCACGCCCGGCTAATTTTTTGTATTTTTAGTAGAGACGGGGTTTCACCTGTGGTCTCTATCTCCTGACCTCATGATCTGCCCGCCTTGGCCTTCCAAAGT